GGAGGGGGGAAACATGCTCTTTTTTTTTTTTTTTTAAAAGATGACCGGTAAGGGGATCTCAACCCTTGGCTTGGTGTTGTCAGCACCACGCTCAGCCAGTGAGCCAACCGGCCATCCCTATATAGGATCTGAACCCGTGGCCTTGGTGTTATCAGCACCGCACTCTCCTGAGTGAGCCACGGGCCGGCCCTAACATGCTCATTTTTAATGATATAAAAAAATACATGTCTGAGTCATGTCTGTGATATGGTATAATATCAGTGATGTGAAAAGTGCAGAAGGATCACCAGCACTCTCTGAGCTGAGACACTGAGCAGAAATTGGACCAGGTTTGATCACTGATCACCCAGACCTTCTCCCTTATGTGTCACACCCTTTGAGGTTACCTCCGTACCTCGATTTCCTCCATCCGTGAAACAGAAATGGTAATAGCACTTACTCATAGGGTCGTCATGAGGATTAAACGAGTTAACACATGTAAAGTCCTTAGGCTAACATCTAGCACTCAGGACATGCTCCACAAACATTAGCTGTTATTATATGGATGAAAAAAGTGAAGTTCAGAGAGGTCCTCTAAGTCGCCTACCCAAGATCACATCTCATCATAGACACAGACTGAACCCAGCTGTGCCCGGCTCCAAAGCTCATGCAAGCTTTTTGTCATGACCCACTCAAGGGATTAACAAAGTGGGGAGATGAGGCGGTACCCCACAGCCAGAACAGCACTGACCGAGACAACTTCTACAAGGACCTGGTGGACTCAGAGGAGGAGCAATTTCAGCTGCTTGGGAATTGTCAAGAAAAGCTCTCTCGCATAGGTAGGAGTCAAGATAGACCTTGGACGCTGAGAAAGACCTGAATAAGTTGTGATGGTGGAGGCAAGGGCTTCCAGCTGAGAGAATGGACTGAACAGTGGCAGGGCACTGACCTCCCACATGTCAGTCACCACTGGGCGAGGGTCAGTCATCCTAGGGCCTGGGCCCCAGACCAGTGTTCCTCAGCCTCAGCACGCAGGCAGTCTGGGCCGGCAGGTTCTTTCCTTTTTTTTTTTTAAAGATGACCAGTAAGGGGATCTTAACCCTTGACTTGGTGTTGTCAGCACCACACTCTCCCAAGTGAGCCACGGGCCGACCCCTCGCCAGCTGGTTCTTTATTGAGGGGGGTGGGGAGCTGTCCATCCATTGCAGGATGTAGCAGCATACCCCTCTCCAGCTGGTTCTTTATTGAGGGGGGTGGGGAGCTGTCCATCCATTGCAGGATGTAGCAGCATCCCTGGCTTATCCCCGCTAATGCCAGTTAGCAACATCCCTCTCCCCAGTGCCACAACCAAAAGTGTCCATAGACATTGCCAGACGTCCCCAGGTGGGTTGCCAAAATCTCCTCTAGTCAAGAACCATTGCCCTAGATAATGGAATTTTCAAGAAGCCCCAACACCACTTGTAGAACTAGACGACCACGCCAGTTGTCAGTTTAGCAGTAGCAGCCTCCCTGTGGCCCCCTCCCCGGGGGCATCCTGGAGGCAGGGGGCCCTGTGGATCAGAGCCACTCGTCCTTTATACTTAAGTCCATAACCCAGGACACCTGGGTGCACATGCGCAGTTACATTAGACAATAACCAAGGAACACCTGGGCGCACGTGCATGTTTACATCAAATGCTCGGCAAGATTCTGAACATCTGAGGGGCCCTGACCATTTTCTTTCACTGTCCCTATACCACTCATTTGCTAATAGGAACCCAGCTTCTCACTCTTTCCCTCATTGTTGGATGACCTCATGAGCAGGGGACACCATACTTGAGGTGGCGACAGGAAGGGAGAATAAAGTAAAGTCCTCCCTAATCCACATGCCTGTAACTGAGGGCTCTTTGAAAGGAAATCCTCGCAGTCTGTACGTGCAGCTCCACAGCTGGCCAGACTTCCTGGTTCAGAAGTATGACCCCAGGTGGGGAAGTTTGTTATTACAGCCAGCTGACCCAGCCAGACCGATGACATTTCTCAGGGTTGGGCTGCAGAGGAGAGGGGATGAGAGACTAAGCTGATGAGGATCACTGACTAACCTTGAGAACAGTCACTTCCCCTTCCTGGGCTACAGTTTTCTCATCAGTAAACTAAAGGGCTTGCAGTACCTTCAAGATTCCTTCCAGGTGAGGACTTCTTTTCAGACCCTATAAAGAGTTGTGAGGGGATAGTTCCCAGCTCACTGGGAGGGAATTCTGTGATCAGCTAGTAATGTCTGCTGGGGGTGCAGGGATGGTGGGATTAGACATAGCAATAGGTGGACCATGTGTCTGACTGTTCTAACAGCCTCCACTAGAAGCTCTGGGGTCTCTATGTGGGCCAGGAGCTGAGGACAAGAGAAGCCAGTGGCTCTTCTTTCAGCAGCTCTAGAGTGGAAAGTTCTACTCAAAGATTCTTTTTTTGTTGTTCTTTTTACAAAGGTAGATTTTTTTTTTTTTAAATTTAAGTGCTTCTCTGTGAGAGGACAGGCAGAAAATGATCCTTACAAGCCATGGAGACCCAACTCTGTTTCAGAGTCATTTATTCATCTAACAAAGAGAATGAGATCCAGGTGAGAAGACCCCAGACCAATCACGCGTTTCTTTCATTCTCCCTACACACCTCCTGTAACTGATAAAAGGGCCTGTAATGCTCTGAAAGTAGAAAGAGAAGGGAGAAGGAAAATAGTGAAGTTTGGCACAGTGGAGAGTACATGGGCTTTGGAGTTCTGGTGCTGCCATTTATTAGCTGTGTGATCTTGGGCAAGTTACTCAACCTCTCTGAGCTATGGTTTTCTCATCTGGGAAATGAGGTCTAATAATCCACTTCTCCCTCAGTATGGAAAGCCTGCATGCAGTTGAGCACTCAATGGTGGCCAAACATAGGAGAAGCCAGGCTGGAATATTCATATGGGGTCTCTTTGTGCAGGGTCTCAAGTGCTAAGCTCAGGGCTTGGTACTTAACTTGACAGGCAATGGGGAGCCTCTGACAGCCTCTGAGCCATGGAGTGAAGCAGAGCAAATCCATAGATTATTCCCCCCTCCCACAGGTCTGTCTCACTAGACTGGGGACAGGACTTAGGTGTTGCAGATCAGAGCCTGGACAGAGGAGGACAGACTAGACCAGGGAGGAGGGAGGATGGAGGAGAATGTGGCGAAGAGCTTAAATTGCTCTCCGCAAGCAAGAGTTGGCAGAAGGGAGAAGGGAGAGGGCACAGAGCCAGGGAGGCGATCGGGAGAGAGAGTTTATTGGGTTCGTCCTCTTCAAGGCTCCAAGAATTGCAGAAAGGAGAGAAAATGGAAGGAAGGGAAGGCTGCCCAGATTGTTAATTGGATTCCTTCAATGTCCTTCAGAAGAGGAGAAGAGATTCTTTTTAAATCACTTTTCGGCTCTTTGAACTGCACTTTCAAAAAATACATGTGCCCTACTGGACTGAGCCATGGGGCCACAGCTTCAGTGGGGTTACAGAAGCGTATAGCTGTTTCCCTGCACACAGGCATCTGGCTCTTGCTACACACTGGAGCGTTCAGGACCACACGGTCCCAGTTTTCTGGCATAGTTCTTGAGCAGACATTGTCAGGGCCCTGCCTTTGTCCCTTTAGGACTCACCGCTCCCACAACAGTCCCTTCCTCTAAGCACCTGCAACTCTGCCTGAGGCTTTCCCTGGCTTCAGGGCTGTGCTTGGTGAATGCGCAGGGCCAGGATTAACACAGCTCCCAGAGCAGCCCTGGACCAGTGATAAATGGCGGCTGGCAGATGGATTCTGCAGTCTTTTCACCATTTGTGTAGGAAAACTCTGAGATGTACTGTACACCATCAGCCAGAGCTTCTGCAGGATTGAACCCCAGATTTCCCCACAGATGTCCATGAACCCCAAATATCCACAACAGTAACCTGCTCATGAACTTGCCCTAGACTGGCTTCCTTCCCTTCCTGTTTCACTGCCCCTCTCCCCTCTCGGTACTTCTTGGAATCACCTTTCAATTAACCACTTGTACTCAAACGCTAGTCTCAGAGCCTATTGCTGGCAGAAGCCAAAGACAGTTAAAATTCTAGATATTCCATTCCATTGCCAGGCCGTGATCTGATCTGGGAGGAAAATGTGGTTATTCCCTTCGCAGTTCATACACAGTACTGCGCTTCCACACCCGGCCATGCCTTCCCCACTCCCTGCCCTCCAGCCCCAGGACAGATTGATCCCATCGGTTCATGGGCCAGGACCCAGCCTCAGATTCTTTTTGAGATGATATTCCAAGCAGACACTTCCAATGGGTCAGCGTTGTCCAGAGAACTGTAACCTCTTTGTGGACTCTGTGCAGAAATGACAGTGACAAACGCAAGACAGGAGACAGGAGAGAAGAGCTCTTTCACAGGCCAGGGAGGGGTGGGCACTTGGGGCGTTCCCAAGAGAAACGAGGGCTGCCTGGTGAACAGTTCTCCCGGGCCCGTGGCCAGGTTCCCTCCTCACACGGGCACATCTCAGCCGCAGCGTCTGTCCTCCCACAGGGAAATGCTTGTCTTTGATCCAGTGTTTGAATGAAGGACACATGAGGGAACTTGAGGGACAGGCAGTCCTCCTCTGGGCCCATCTGTCAGCGGGGCTGGTGGCGCTGGGGGAGGCTCCCCGTTTTGTTACAAAGGCCTGAGGGGCTCCTGGTGAGTTGTGCAACCGAGCGGGAAAGCCAGCTCACCTGCAGCTGGGAGGAGAGGAAATATCCCGTGGCTGACGGTGCCCAGGCGCTGACTGAGCCAGCCCTCCTGGCCTGCGGGCAGGGCGGGTGTCCCTCAGAGATAAGCCAATCGCTCGGCAGCGGATGAGGAGCTCTGAGAAGCATTGTTCAGGACAGGGGTAAATCACTCAGAGCGGGCCGAAGGGTGGCAGGAGCGGGTGGCCTCCCGGGACGGTGGAGAGCCCCTCTCCTCCGTGGCGTGAACGCGTGCTCCCCACATCTGGAAGAGCTCAAGTGCGGCCTCCCCCACCACATCCTGGGGACAGGGCAGCATGAGCCAGTCGAGGCACGTGGGCAAGATCCGGAAACGTCTGGAAGGTGTCAAGAGCCAGTGGGTCCGGCCAGCCAGGGTTGACTTCAGTGACAATGAGAGTGCCCGGCTGGCCACAGATGCCCTCTTGGATGGCGGTCCCGAGGCCTACTGCAGGGTGCTCAGCCAGGAAGGCGAGGTGGACTTCTTGTCCTCAGTGGAGGCCCAGTACATCCAGGCCCGGGCCAAGGAGCCCCCCTGTGCCCCCGATCCCCCAGCAGGGGCCGAGGCAGGCCCTAAGGGGCCCGACTCCTGCTCCCTGCAGTCAGGCACCTACTTCCCAATGGCCTCGGAGGGCAGCGAGCCGGCCCTGCTGCACAACGGGGCCTCGGC